TATATATATATATATTGCGCAGTGTGATATTCTGCGACTGGAATGGAAAGATGGGAGTCTACTTTTCTATGTCCATATGAACATTTACTCTCTCTTATGCTTGGCCCATTTCAATCTCATTTGTGTTTCTCGGCTTTATTCGTATGATCATCTCATCTCATCTCAGGAGATATTCAGAGTAACTAGAGCTGTGGCTTCAGGATGTAAAAAATACAGTGGGTATTACACAGCATTTGATACTTTCAAAAATTAATGAGAAAAAAAAAAGTGCAGCTATAAAAGTAGTGTGTGCAAATTTGGCGGACAACATTTTTTCTTTTCTTATGCATATATATATATATATATATATATCTCTGATAGTTGTTGTTCGCTCACAAGCCATGGCCTGTTGGTTGACAGGGTTCACTGTAACTCCCCTCAGGTCATGGGTTTGTTCCTCAGTAGCGCTGGGTTCTCAAATATTTAGGCACATGACGCAGACTCTCATCATGGGGCCTAGCGCATAGAAAATTAGTATTTAGGCCTCTGCAAAATACCGATTTACTTTTTAGAAAAAAAGAGTATATATATATATATATATATATATATATATAGAACCACACACTCACACACACACACACATAAATTTTACATGAAAAACTCAAGATGGGAAAACCGAGGGCAGAGGAGAAGAATTTACTATATTAAATCTGAAATTACAATTCGAGAGTTTTAGCCAGCATACAACCAAAGCACAAAGAAGTGAGTGACTTGTGCAAAAAAGAGGGTTATTCATAGTCTTCAACAAGACCCCTTAAAAAAAAATGATTAAAACGAGCATATAAAGCAGTAGCATACTTATTACAATCTAAAGGCTATTATAAGATTGATCAAATTATCAAAACCTTCAATCCCTTTCTAAAACCTTAATCTACATGCTCTTAGTTATTTCTAATGATTCAATCCACATGCTCATAATTTCCTTCTAACACTTCACTTTACATACTCATAATTTTCTTATGAGATGACCGTGGGACCTATAAAATTCTGATCACAATTGGGTAATGTCCATATTGACATGAATTTCTAAATATATGAAGAATAAAATTTTCTCCACCTCTTTCACAAAGCTCTAGTGATCAAGAATGAACATCAATCAAATTTAAGTATGCTCAAACTTGCTATTAGAAGTGCCTTAGCAATCACATCTTCATGATTATTACGAGTATTGATGTAGCTCACAACAATAACATCATGAGCAATAACTTCACCTATGAAGTGGTAACACATATCAATGTGCTTGGTTTTCTCATGAAACATCTGATTTTTATAGAGATAAATAACACATTAGTGTGTTGATCTTCAAATATTCACTAAGTTCTTTTTCCAGTAGACCTTTCAATCAGATAGCTTATTTATAAGCTTCAGTATTTGTCATGTACTCAACTTCAGTTATAAATAGTCTCACTATTGCATGTAAAGTAGCTTTCCAACTAATCACACAACCAACAATAGTAAACACGTATCTTATAATTGATTTCATTCTTTCAAGATCTCCAACAAAATCTGAATCAACATAGTTAATGACTCTATTTGTAGTCCTAAAATGCAAATAAGCATTTATTTTTCAACATAGATACCTTAGGATCCATTGAAATTCTTTACAATGCTTTTTGCTTTGATTACTCATATATTTGCTAATTGCACTGACTGCATATGATAAATTTATACAAGAATATATCATAACATATATGAGAGATCCCACTGCACTAGAATATGAAACTTGATATATATATATTTATTCTCATCTCATCAGATTGTGAACACAAAGCTGATGAGAGTTTAAAACAGAGTACTAACAAGTTTGTCATTTTACATATTAGACCTTCGTAGAATTTTCTCAATGTACCCTTTTTGACTTAAAAATAATTTACTTGTCTTTCTCTCTGAATCTCTATACCAAGTAGTTTCTTCGCAGTTCCCAAATCATTCATCTCAAACTCATTGGTAAGTTGAGCTTTTAATATTTCTATGTTTTATTTATCCTTAGTAGCATTCACCATATCATCAACATAAAAGCTAAAGAAGAAAAATGATTCTTTATTTTTTTTAAGTGAACGCAACTATCATATCTACTTATCTTAAGCTCGTGAGCAATCATAAATGAGCCAAATTTTTTATATTAATGCTATTATATAAATAATATAAAATTTTATATTATTTATATAATAGCATTAATATAAAAAATTTGGCTCATTTATGATTGCTATTAATGTTTCGAACCGCAAATAAATTTCTTCAAAAAACAAACATGAACTTATTTTCCTATAACCGAAAAAATTTTAAGCTACCGCAAATAGATGTCCGCATATAGATGTCCTTTTCAAGCTCTCTACATTAAAATATAGTACATCTAATTTCTACTTAAGCTTAAGTTCATGCTTAGCTGCAATGTCAAGTAAAGCTCCAATTGAACTATGATTGACCACCGGAGAGAATACATCTATTAAGTCTACACTTAGAATTTGATTGAATTGATTTACAACAAGCTTAGCCTTATATCAAACATCTTTAACTCCTAATGTAACTCCCTCTTTCTTAAATTTGTTGGTTAATATTTTGTTCAAAATAAATATAATAATTAGATTTCACAAAATATAGTATGATAGAGATCACTATTATGGCAACAAATTAATAAATTAACCTGTTAAATTTTATTTTATGCAATGTGAATTTGAACGCATTTATAAACCCCTAAAAAGAAATATTAATGTACATGATATCAAAATCTCTTAATCTCAAAAGTAATACTAAAATGTTTATCATTAACTACTAATCTCGATCAAATTAAATTTTTGAATTACTGGAAATGTGGTAATGATTTAAATTGTCTCAAATTATATATTTGTTTAAATTATTATTTCAAATTTTTTTTTAAATTTATAACTAGTGAAGCAAATATAATTTCAATATACATATATAAATAAATATAACATCAATATTTCATGCTCAATGTAATATCAAATGAATTGAACAACAAGAAGCTATGTCTCGCAATAACTTGAACTTATCTTAAAACACATAATGAACTACAAGTTGAACTGATTAGTAACTAATTTATAAAAATATAAATTACATTAAAGGTACTTATAGTTTAATTTTTTTATTCATGACAATAGTTCAATAGTTTAGCTAATGCAAAAAGAAAAGCATTTTTAGAGTTAAAAACAACACCATTTTATCTTGATTTTTCAAGCATTATCAAAAATACAAGTCACAATAACTTGTTATGTAATACTTTTATAGTTTTTTCAGATGACAAAGTCATCCCCAAGAAAATCCTAACACTCTATTTACTCTCCTAATTAATGCATTTTAAACACTTAACATTACATGCTCAAAACATTCATTTTGATTTTTGCTACTTATTTTTAATATGTTGCATTCGTATAATCTTAGACATATATATTACGAACTTGAGGATGCTCCTACAAAATAAAGTAAGAGAGAAATAGTAATGTAATCCCATAATATGATATTTCTCATTGTGTAGTTTTAAAATATTAAATCCTTTGTCAAGAAGAGTATGGTACAAGATTATCATTTGTCTTAGATTCATAACTCTAATCAATAATATTATAATATGTTTATTTAGACAAGCTTTATTTTAGCTATAAAACACATCTCAAGTGATATGTCTTACAATTTTCTTTTTTTCTAACAAGAGAAAAATTTTATGACTTGCATTTGGCAACTATTTTCATTTTTCGGGCAAATTTAGGGCCACACTCCGCATCACATTATAAAATCTTACAATTTTCTTTTTTTCTAACAAGAAAAAAATTTCATGACTTGCATTGGGCAACCATTTTCATTTTTCGAGCAAATTTAGGGCCACACTCCGCATCACATTATAAAAATAAAAAATAATATAAATTGACAACATAAATACATAAATGAAAGTAAAACAAAAAAATCTTTGGATTATTTTGCATGCTAGCTCTCGGTTGTAAAGGATAAAAATAAATAAAGATAGGTGGAAGATTAAATTCACATTAGATTTCGCGCTTTTGGATTTGTATTACTCTTCTTTATTTTTCTCTCATATGAACAATAATCTCTTTTTATGAAGTAGATTTCGTGCTTTTCTCTCATATGAACAATAATCTCTTTTTATGAATCATATTAATCATTCATGATTGTAACCAAAATATCATGTAGAAATGGAAAAAAAAAGATTATTTAGTAATATTCTTAATCGATAAATCATTAGAATAACTTCTACATAGATCTACTTGAATATCATCTATTATTATTGTCTTAACTGAGTTCAGTTTGTTCAAGCTTTTTTTTTTTTTGTAGCTAATGAATTATGGGATGCCCTCTCCAAAAATATTAAATAAACTATACAAAAACTATGATACTCGTAATATATGTTAAAAAAAAATACTAATAATATAAGAAGTTCTTAATTAAAAATGATAGAAATCTATCAAAAATTAATTGGTGAACCGAGGCTTTTGAAAATATATGATGAGTATAGGGTCAAATGCATATATTAAATTTATATGGAGTTGAAAAAAAAAGAATCATCTTAAGTGCATCTATTTTAATTGAAATTTGATACCTCGAAAATAGATATTAAGTAGTATAATTTTTAGTCAAGTGTATTTTGATAAATAAATGTGTAAGTCTTTCTTTATAACTTACTTTGTTATTAGGTTTAGTCAATTAAGTCAATAGTTGTGCATTTCATCCATATTAACCAGATCCACTCCATCATGTAATTCCATAGTTTCTTAAAATGACTTTTTATCGTATTATTCAAACAAACACCTACTCTTGTGGTTCACCAGTTCTTGAATAGGGTTGAATACTTAAATGAATTCAATGGCATGTGTGGAAAGATTAATCAAATTTCTCCTAAAATGGGTAAAATTTATAGAAGTAGTAAGTATTCAAATTTCACTAAGATGAATAAGTTTATTTTATCTTGTAGGTGAATTCAACTTTTAATTCCTAAAAAAACTTTTTTCTAGGATGTTTTCAATCATAGGCAATGATCAAGATAAGGGCAGGACCTTTAATGACAATTGTTTAAGAGTTTATCATAATAGACTAAAATATTATAGAGTCAACAAAGTAGTTAAAATTTTTTAGAAGGATAGAACTTATTAATGTATTATATATATATATATATATATATTAAAAAAAAACCCATTATAAAAGTGATATAGAAAAAGATAAATGTTTTGATACAATTGATGATGGACAATATCTTAAATTCTTTTTCCAACTGATAATTGTTGAGTGAAAGAGTATATAGGCTTGAATTGAAGATCTCAAAAGTAGAAGAGAAATAGAATATTTTAAGGCAATAAGGTTTATCATTAATCCCCAAAAAAGCACCCTTTATATATTAGGTCATTTACTATCACCACTCGAAAGAGCACCCTTTTTATTTAGAGATTTATTTCTATGGTAGTATATAGATGAAATGTATGCTTAAAAGTATTTTCTAAATTATAAAATCAAATTTTCCAAATAAAAATAAATAAATCACATATCAACTAGCTAAATCTTAATCTTAGCCACATTATATTGGATAGAGGTGTGCATTTGGTTGGTTTGAGTAGCTTTACTTGCAAATTAGCTAAAACATTTGATTTTAGGCCTCAGTTTGTTTCAACTTTAGATGAGCCAATTATAAATAATTTTAATGATGAATCTAGTTATTTTTAACTTAATTAACATGCATTAAGAAGAATGTAAAGTACAATTTACTAAAGTTAATAATTTTGGTATGCAGAATAAATAATGTCCATATTAATCTCTGTCACTTACTTATTTGTAATTCATAAACTTTATCGATTTAATATTTGAAGACAGTAGAGTTGTAATTCAATTCAAACATTCGATTGTTTCAAAGGGCGCCTTTTATTGATAGTATTGTGGAGTCCATGACGGGGAAAAAATTTGCGTACGTAAGTGTACGTAGAGCTGCGTACGTCTGTAACCCACAAATAGGTTACAGGGTGGGTATTGGGGGGTTATAACCGCGTTATACCCCTTATAACCTACAGTAACCTACCTATACTTTCCAGTAAGTTCCGCGCTTCTGTTTTCACATATTTGTAGGTTACAGTAGGTTACATGGAGATTACAGGGGGTATAACGCAGTTAGGGCTGTCAAAACGGCTCGTTGTTCGCGAACAGCTCGTGTTCGGCTCGTTAAGAAGCTTGTGTTCGGCTCGTTAATTTCGTTCGATAA